AATTGCTTTGATAGCAGTATTTTAACCTATTGATTTTTTAAAATTATTAACTCATTTGTGTTTTATGAACAAAATATTTTATAAGTATTATATATTTGTAAATTTTCATAAGTTAGACCAATATCTTCTTCTTACCACTGACATCCTCTCCATCTGATACATCATCCTCTGGCTGTCAATGAGAAAATGAAAAACATTTCTCATTCTACTTTCAGAAATATTATTCAACATTCAATGTACGATGGACATTTAATACAATCTATCTAATAATAATAATATAAATTTGCTTGGACACTGCCCCTCACCAAAATAGCTGGTGTTTTGATTAATACTTGTGTTGTGCATAGAAGAACTTGTGTTGTATGAAGAAAAATTTGAAAAAAAAGCTGAAAACATTTAGAAAAGTTACCTCTCCTCATATTTTAAAGTTGCAGATTGTTACTAGAGGTAATTATTTATTTTTTTATAATAAATGGATGGAATGTTTTTGATTGATATTTCATTTGCATAAGGTGATTAAATATATTTCAAATCAAAATAACTGACATTTGACTGGATATCCATTTTGATTGGGTCATCATCTGTTTATTTTGTAGAATGTATTTTGACTTTTCTGACACCTTTTGAATTTATAAAGATGTGTAAAATTGTATTTGATGTAACTGTAAGTAAGGTTTTCATTTTTTTTTTTATATTTTAAAAATAACTTTAATCTTTTTATTAAAATTTACAATTTTCTCAATAGTGAGTACTGTAGAGCATGAAAACATGTTTTTAGGGATCAGGTTAGCCGTTAGGTCATAGATTTTAGTTTTGAAGATTTACGATCAAGTTGAGGGGGGGACTAAATTTAGGGTTGAATTTAAGCTCAAGTTGGGGGGCTAAATTTAGGGATGAATTTACACTTCAGTTGGGGGTACTAAATTTTGAGGTGAATTTACACTTGAGTTAGGGGTACTGACTTAGCATTCAGTGACTAGGTATAGTTGCAAGGTTTAGATTACAGATTTTTCGTTATAAAAAAATTACATTAAAAATTACTTTTGCATGATTTTTTTATTGTTAATTTTTGGCAGTGTCTACACGTCCGGCGCGCCGGACGTCTATCTCCCGCACTATGTGTCCGGCGACCAAGTCACATGACCGCCGTAACAAAGTGGCGAGAGATATCGTGTCGGTCAGCCTTGTCACGTGACTGTGTCTACACGTCCGGCGCGCCGGACGTCTATCTCCCGCACTATGTGTCCGGCGACCAAGTCACATGACCGCCGTAACAAAGTGGCGAGAGATATCGTGTCGGTCAGCCTTGTCACGTGACTGCGAATAGTTCAAAACTATTGTTAATTTTAAAATCTATTTCTCTACCAAGTAATGTACTGAGTATCTTGAATGCAAATAATAGAAAAAGAAACTTAAGTGAAAGTGGCTTGTAAACATTTTTGTTTAGTTTGTTATTTTTTGTGTACCAGTAATCCATAAAATAAATTAGGGGCCAGTGTGGCAACCAATAAAAGTTAAAGATTTCATTTTAAATTATTTCAATTGCTACAAAATATTTAAAAACTTCTCATGAAAATACTGTTGCTGAGGAACATGATAATATAAATATACCGGTATACAAAATATTTTAATTAAAATGGGAAGAAAAAAAACGACCTATCCCCGGTATAGACCCTCAAACATTCCTATCGTCAAGCAACCACTCTACCACAAGACCAGACAAGATGTACTAAATCGTACTTCGTTTGGAATTATAAAAACTACTAGCCGTCCGGCTATGTCCGGCGGTCACGTGACAAGTCGCCGGACGTGTATCTTGCGCACTACACGTCCGGCGCGCCGGACGTGTAGACACTTCGTTAATTTTTTAATTATGTTTTTCCCTTGAAAATGTGTTGATATTTTAGGAGACATGTTTTTTGCACCGATTTTTTTTTCAAGATCATCCTCTTCATGCCATGCTGTCAGAGGGAAACGTCAAGCGTACAATTGCTATTACTATTACCCTAGCTTTTAAACAACTTTAAAATTACAGGGTCTAAATAGGCTGCCAAATTGAACTTGATGGCAGCAGGGAGAAATCTTTTTTACTTGTTTTAGCCCTTCCTTTTTCTCTTTTTCTTTTTAACTTTAGAATTAAGTTTTAAGTGAGTAGGGATATCAAAACTTTTTTGATGTGAGTAGCCTGAGTAGGTGGGGCATGGCCAAAGAAATGTTTAGAAACACTGGGATAGACTAACTCAAGGCAGGATGTGACTGTTGGCTTAGCCAACATGTTTCATTTTATTTTGTCATGGTCATCGCACTCATCACGGATGACGAAATTGGGTCTACCCGAAATTGTAACCAGTTCAGTCAGTAACTTAAACTTAAATAATACATTCATTAATAATACTAAAAATTTAAATACTTACATCGACATGAGTTTCCAATAATTTGCCATCATCATCGCTGTCACTTAGCGTGTTTCCCATTATGTTACCTCCCCAACATCAACAGTTTGTTTATTTGAAATATAAACAATGAATAGTATTTTTTAAAATAATTCAACTATTTTTAGAAAAAAGCATCCTGCTTTATTGACACCCACTGTCACTCCCGACTTCAGGGAAAAAGGTTTGTTAGGGGCATTAAAATTGTGGTGATCTCCCTTATTTTAATGCTTAAAAATTAGTTGATCTCGAAAATTAATCTAAATTTAGAATCATTACATAAATTTCAAGGATTATTTTCAGCCTCAGTAAATTCGTGTTGATATTGATTACATAAATAACATAAAATTATATTCGAAAACATTATATCTATGTTATTGATAAATTATTAAAAGTGGAGTTTAAGTCTGAACTGAAACTGAATTTCGTTAAAACGTTAAGACTTGAGGAAAACACCGTGCAAACATATTAGGAAACGGAACAAAAACTAACATTTAATGCTATAACTATAATGTAGGCGTAGGTTACTGGTAATTAGTAATTAGATAACTGAAGACATTTTAGGTGGGCTTACCATAATTCTAAGGGTTTATGTTAGTAGTTATCTTACATTGTTCCCATGAACCGGGTTGGGGGGGGGGGGGGCTACCCCCCAGGGGAAATTTTGTTAAACATTATTCATTATTACTATTGTAGACATGGGCACCCACAGGGGGTGGCACTTGCCCCCCCCCCCCCCTGGATTGATTGGATAAAAAAATTTAGACAAAAATAGACAAAAAATGTATTAAAATAAAGAGAAAATAAAGAGAAAGTAAGTAAGCTGATGTCCTGTCCTGTCCTAAGAAAGTTTTCTGCGGGCGCCCATGATTGTAGTGTAATCTGTATCACTGTGTGCAGGGGTGAGGTAGAATTTCGGGAGTTCGCCCCAGGTGGCATTTAGTCAAGATATCGTGCAGTCACGCTATTAATGTGTAAGAGGCTATCTTACATATGACATCGACTGAACAAATGAGCTGATGTAGCGCTGCTAAACAGGGACTGTAACTATCAAAAACAAACCAGGACGTATGTCTTATGGTAAAAGCCTATGGGGTTTGCTAACTTCCAGTACAGTGAGAAATTTCAGCTTGTCTGAGTAAAAAATATTGACACAATTTAAAATTTCATTAGCTGAACGATTTTGGGTATCCGCATCAAATAAACTATTTTTAGTGTAGTGTTGGGAAATTCGATAGTAATTATTACAATCTTGATTATAGTATAGTCTCCCTAAAGTACCGGTGGGTACTTAATGTTAATAAACGGTATATGTTAATAAACGTACCCCGAAATTTGATCGATCGGAAATTTGGTCGAATCTTATTTTCAATTCACACGTTAAATTTTGCGTGAAATTTCTTTTTGGGCGCAATATGTAGTTTTACTATATAGTATAGTGCGTTCAAAAAGGAACTGTATGAAAAATTTTAACATGTGAACTGAAAAAAGGATTCGACCAAATTTCCGTTCGATCATTTTTCCGTTGACGAAATATCTTTCAAACAAATTTCCGGTAACTGGTAAGCCCAACTTATCTATGACTCAATGATTTGAGGGGGGCGCTGTATAACACTGAAAATTTTGAAGATCATCACTGGTACTCGCCTTGTCCACAAGTGTTCAAAAGTGTTAGCTGTTCTTTCTAGTATTTAACTGTTACCGTTACTCCACGAAATCAATTCGGAGAGAGGCCAACCATTTACAATTAATTTCAACATGAACCTAAATGATTCTTCAACCTCGGAAATGAAATTAATGGAGGTAACCGAATGTTTTCTGTCCAAACAGTCCAATGGTTTACTGGTGACACATATTTGCTTTTTTTTCTCCTTTTGTTTTAGGATAGTTGCGTTAATTTTAAAAAAGTATTTCAAGTCTGTCTGCTACGTTACTAATTAAAGAGAATTGCTCTCACATGTGAAGACAGCAGGACAGGCCATACCAACTCCACATGTGAAGGAAAGATTACAGAAGAAAACCCTTGGGGGGAGGGGGGGAGAGAGAGGGAGGGATCCAGTCAGGTAATTGGGGGGGGGGGGGGGGGGAAAAGGTCCCCATTTAAAAAAAAAANGTCAGGTAATTGGGGGGGGGGGTGGTGTTAAGATTCTCCATTTAAAAAAAAAAAAAAACACTTCACAGAGGCTTTATAGTTTGATCAGACATTTCCAGCAAAATATCACATTTGGACTGACCATTTCATGAGTTTATATATACATATAAACTAGGTGTCAAATTGCAAAAAATGCTGTCACTTCAAAAAATTAAAAAATGAGTTCACTTTTTTGGCTGGTTTGTAAAGTGTCAATCTACTGTATTTAGTGTATTTAATGGATTAAAAGTTGCATTTAAGTTTAAGTCTAAAATGCCACCAAAACCAAAATGCTATATAAATTTAATTTACAAAAAACAGCTTTTTCTATAATTAAACCAAATGTTACTTAGCAGGTTTTGCAATTGAACTCATCTATAGAGGTATGCAGAGAATATCTGAGAAAACAAAACAAAAGAACAACAACAAAGAAGACTGCCTAATCATACACATTTTAATTGTTTAATAGAAAATTATAAGTTGGAAAAAAAAATACATAGCTTTGAACAATATTCTAGCTCTGACTTATAGAGGATGGGCAGCAATAAAAGCCATTAGAAGCACATATGCACAATGGAGTCAAGGAACAAAAATGTTCCACGCAGAAGGCTGAAGTGGCACAAGCAGAAATACATAAGGCCATGTGTAACTGCTGGCAAGGCTTGTTATCCAGACCTTATATATCTTAACAGTTAGTACAGGTGAAAAGCCAGCACATATGAGACGTGGATGAAACTGTCAACATAGTCACTGGAAATGACTAGCATGTTGCAGTAAAAACCATGACCCTCACATTCAAACATTTGTGTTTGTACTTTTCCACATAAATGGCTGTTCCAATGAAACGGGGTCAACTAAGGGTTAAGCCTCTTTCAGCACGATTTGTTAATATTCTTAACATAATATGGAGACAATTAACAACTCTGATCTTTTTCACAAATAAGATTTTAATAATCCTCCTAGTTAATTACTTCATAACTTTATAACTGAATTTAGTTAATCCATTTCTCTTCCAATTTCATACCACCATTTTTAAATGAGAATAACAAAATGTCTCATCTTTACTTCATTAAAGTCAATTAATTAAAACTGCTGCCTGTTAATTACACAATTAAAACCTGCAAGGATGATTTATTATGAAGACTAAGACTTGGTTAGTGGCCTTGAATTCCTGCCACAACTCTGCAAAAAAAAAAAAAACAACATTGGCGACTTCATATTCATCAATTAAATTGATGATCATTTCAAATAAAAATTAATTGGCAACAAGAATCACGCAAAGCAAGAGGATGTTAAAATTTCACAACAATAATTTCTTATTAAAATTTGTACAAGATAAAATGTGAACTAGATTGTGTAAATGGTTGGTTAGAAGAAGGGAAATGATTGAGCATAATTTCTCAAATTGATTGATTGGAAAAGAATACACATCAGATGTAAATAGTTCTATAATATTAATATGATTTACCATACTTGTAAAAGGTTAGTGCCAGATATGAGCCTACATTTATGAATACAACAATTTGGGATGAAGGAATATGTCTTCATTGCACAATTAATTATAATTAACTGAAGGAAATTTTAAAACAAATCACATATTTTGTACAGAAAATGCAAGCTCACAATTGAACATAACTCTTCAATATTAAAAACAACTTGTTTCATGAATTAATGTTTTGTAGGTTGGTAACAATGTAATAAATTGGTAAAAATTATATAAAAATAACCCTATAAATTATAAATTGTGTTACACACAAGCATCCTTTTTTAATATACTTAAAATCTCTTTTTAAAAAAGATCAATTTTACATGATCAATTTAAGAAAACTTAAATTTTAAAATAGTTGCTACAAACAATACATTTTTTCCTATGATACTCATAGAATTTATAGAGATATAAATAATTTTATGAAAAAAATACTGAAAATATCCTAGATTAATTGGCAGGCAGGTCTGATGCTCAAAAAGAGTATTAATGTATTGTTAAACATAAATTTGGTAAGACAAATATTTGATGAAAGTTAACATGAATACTTGATATATAAAATGAGAGAACTAATGAAATGTGTTGACTTGTGTGGAGCTATAAGTTGAAATTATAGAAGAAGTGGAATTTTTAATCACTGTGAATGATCAACTTTATTTTAGACTTTTAAAAAAATATTACATTTTTTACTGACAAAAATGGCAAGCAATAATGTCCACACCATCCTTGTCAGCACTTAATTCCATAAGGAAATGTTTAAGAAAAATAATATACATGAAAACAATGCAAGTGGGAAAAAATTTTAACATTACATTGTAACACATCAGGAATGTCCATTTACACAAGCAATCCAAGTCATCCACCTTTAACACTAGCATACATTTTAGAAATGAACATGTAATAAGTCATATGTAGTGGGAGGCAAGTACAAAATTAAACTACAAAATTCCAATTTTTCTTTCGGGAATTTCTCTCAATGCTATGACTGGAAATTTAAAAAAATAAGCATCCCAAGGGTGTAAAATGCATGGTGTTATTTTGGAACACAGCTGAGGGACACATAGTCTAGCCAAACTGATGTTCAAATTATTCTTATATCAAATTAATTTCATCACCATTACCTCTGCCTCCACCGTTCACATTTGGTTTTAAAAAATATGAAAACTGAAAAATATATATTTAAAAAAAATACATGTTTTTTCATGTTTAACAAAAAAAAGATTCGCTGACAGTAATAAAAAGGGTTCCTCCATTATTTAAAATCTATTCAATAAAATACACAAAAATATAAAAGCCACAATAAAAATGTTGCATTTACCAAAAACTTAATTTTATCAGAAGACTGTGAAATGAAGGTTCCACGACATCTGACCATCACCGAACAGCAGCTAAGTGTCAATGACAGTAAAAATCACTTTATACAGAAAAATATTGAATAAAATTGACAATGCATTTCTGCTTTAACTTTATTCTGCAACTTCAATTCCCTCACCATTGGTGGTGGCTAGAGAACCGCTGGTGGTGGTAGTAGTAGTTGTCATTTTGGACTCAACCAATTTTTGTTTCAATAATGATGGATCTTCAATGACAGCTGTGGTCATCTTGAGCTCACTTAGCTGCTTCAAGACCTCCTCACCAGTATGGGTAACCTTTTCAGTTGTTTTAGTTACAAATTCACTGGTCCTGGTTGTAATCTCATGCTGCAATTAAAAAAAAAATTGTACCTAATTGAATTTAAAAATCATCAAGCCCTCCTTACCCAAGGTAAGCACACAGCAAAACATTTAAATGTGACTTTATATATAAACATCAGCTTCTAATTTTTATAAATAATTAGAAATGCTCAAATGTGATGAGGGGCACTACGGAACATAACATAGCGGATGATTGTAACAAAGTGGACAGAACTGTTACCCGACACTATAAATAAATTGGTTATTTCCCTTATGTCATGAAAGGACAATAAATGAGGAGAGAGCTGAAAAGCTTTTCAAACACACCCCCCCCCTCCCCCTTAAAAGACTTAAGTGAATGCCACATGCTGCTTATTAATTTCTAATTTAAAAGATGACCATGCCAAAGGTCTACTAAACCGACAGAGTCAGGAAAGAAGCTAGATCTCAATATGAAAAACATCCCTCCCTTTGGCTGCTATCAAGACAATGCAACAAAATAAAGCAAGAAGGGGGAGGGGGGATGCATATGAGATAACCATATGGCTGCAAATGGGTTAACAATTATAAAAAGGAAAAAAAAAATGTTATGCATGCAGATCCTGTTTAGTGTTGGGGATATTGTGAAGAAACAAAATAAATAACCAAAACAAAATTTAGTGAAGCAAAATTAAAACATAACAGTACAGTAATGAACACAATTGGGAAACTAAGGATTCAACACTTTCCTAGCAATGACTTTTTACATCCCCCTCCCCTTTATCCATGCTGCACCTTTCAAACAAATCTAGGACAGGAAATCTCAATAAACAAACATTTTGATTCTAAAAGCAAGTGATATAATTAGAACAGCATTTCCACATGAAGAGTTGATTTGCAATTAGGAGAAGGGGAGGAGACGTGTGCAAGTTGGTATTGGTACCAGTACATATTTTATCATTTCAAAAATATTTATTATACTTCACATGAGCCAGTGTTCCTTTGTGATATATAATTGGTTTTTTGACATCTTTGAGCCAAAATTTCTATTGCCTCCCATTATCTTAGAGTTAGAAAACATGTAACATTCCCCCCACCCCCAAACCATTAAAAGGGCAAACAAACAAAATAAATCTCTCAAAATTAAACATTTCAATGGAAATAATTAAGGTAACCTCTGTAAAATAACAAAGCCTTTGCTATCTCTAGATAATTAACCCCATTAGAAAGGATTGGGAAATGCTATTCCAATAAGTTTTGAAAGAGAGGGATGTATTTCTCATATGTAATCTATCAACCTCCTTCCTCACCTGTGTTTCTCTCAGGACATCAGTCACACCATCACCTTCTTCTGTATGCCCATTTGTTACTAAAGGTTTAAGAAAATCAAAATTCAGATTAAAACTACAATGCAAAAAATCTAGCATTCTAATTTCAGACTTTCTTGACCAACTACAAAAAATCAAAATATTCAAGGTTAAAGTTCTGATAAATTGCAATTTCAAGGTAAAGGGTAATGCTTAAAATTACAGCGAGTTTCAAATGGCAAAAGGCATCACCTTGCAAGTTCAATGAAAATAAAATGTCTGAAAATCTTTACCAGCTTAGTTTTGATGAATACCAAATTAAAATCTTGACTCGGAAGCATAAAACCTATTGCTGAGCTATTTGTCAACTCAAAAAAATTGAGAATTTTAAATAATCGCCATTCCTAGATAAAAATTTAAAAGGGACATTGTCCTATCTTGAATACAATATGGCGTTGCAAAGTGATGCAAAATAGCAGCAGTGTAATCATTATTTATTGTGCTGGTTGATTTAATTACAATTTAAAAATATTTCGCACTGTAAACTAACACAGGAACAACTGTAAAATATATTTTATCACTATTGAATAAAATCTTCAATCATGCATTGGGAGAAAAGGAGGAACATACAAAAATCTAGTGAAATACCTGTAGTGACTTCCCGATGAGCCTCCTGTGCAGCTGATGCTGCACTCTCCGAGACTGTTGATGTTGTTGTCTGTGTGATGGTTCTTACAGATGTTACTATGGTACCTTCATTCTCTGCACTGGAAATAAAATTTTATTGATTTTTGAATGTATGTGCATAAAAAAAAAAAAGCTGAAAGTGTTAGGTGTATAAAACAATGTTAAAAATATTGATGTATTAAAGTTACAATTTCTACGAGGAATACATTAAATATATAACGCTATCATTTTGAATTGTACAGTATGTTTACTGTTTATTCAGGTATATTATTATTATTAAATATAAATGAGTTTGTTAAAAAAAGTTTAACAGTAAAATATATTAATCTGTCTTCAGAAAATCTTATCTCAGTTATGCTACAGGTAACCATAGATTTTTCTATATAGTGTTAAGTCAGTGTTTAGCAGGTTACAAATAAACATTAAACAGATGAAGAAATATCTGCTTTAATGCATTAGATGATAACTACAAATTATGAAGTTTATAATGATAAAAGAATGTTTCTCATTAATTGCTGAAGTCAGCTGTATTATATATGAGACCATTCATAAAACTCAAAATATTGGCTGTATTTTAAAACTTGAAATTGAGGCCAAAACATGAGAGCCTATCATTCTCACTCACATGACATCTCTGACACTGTCAATAGTTATATCTGCTGACATTGCTGACATATTCATGTGTGAATCATCTGCATTAACCGCTATGCCATCAGCTTCACTGTCAATAATAAGGTGTTGGGATAAAGGGTGAATATGTTAATATGGAAAAACAGAGATTAGTCGGGTTAATTATTAGTCAGAACTCAGGGGATTAGTAAAAGCATTTCAATTTTCTCCATAGCCCTTTTTAAATAAAAAGCGTGCAGAATTATTAGTTTGTATCAGGAGAATAACGATGTGGACTTGCATACAAAGATGTCTTGTGTCAAATAGTTATGCTTCAGACTAAACTTACATCTCTGATCCACTTTTCTTCATTAAGTAAACCTAATGATAATTTGTTTGATAAAAAAAGAATATAAATCATGATAACCCTTTAATCAGAATTTTTAAGATTAACTAGGTTGTATTCAACCGTCAAAACATTTGCACAAAAATAATCCAAAAAGAGTATTCTTTCTACAAAACTATGAAAATTCAAATACATTGTCTTTTCTTTGGTTAGTTCTAAGCATAGTATAATTTTTTCTGCATGTAAGATCAACGGCAGATTTTTTTATTTGTTAAGTCACATTATTTTACCAGAGGAAGGAACAGGTCAAGGCACATCTCTATTGCTTATCTCTAGATCGTTATTTGTATCACATACTTTCTGAGATGGGAAGAAATGAAATTTCACCAAACTCTAATTTTTTTTCTCTTTGAATAATGTTTACTTAGGTTGCAGAAAGAAAAGAAAAAAAAAGATGTGCTAAAATCAATTTTGTAAGGCAAAGAGCCCTACCCTTGAGCTTCTTGGGATTGCTCCTCTGAAGCAGGTGTCACTTCAACTGTTGGCCGATCAGTAGCACCTCCCGCTGCCTCTTCTTTTATCTCAGGTGGTGGCCTGAGACCTTCAGCAAGTTCAAGTTCGCATTTAGGTGTGGCTGTGGTTGTGCTTGTCGAAAGTGTAATCCGACTAAACTCAGAAGGTGATTGCAAATAGAAACCTTGGCCATCTTTGGTGAACACGAAAGAAGATATTCCACTAAAAAGAAAATGGAACAAATCATCCTAATGCAATCCAATTTTAATTTTAAAAACATCCATCGAATAACTAATAAGAACTAAGCAGCTTTTCTGTGTTATAAATGAACCTTACTTGATGTCTTCTTTTCTTAATGACTGTAAAGTAAGCTGTCTTCTTAGTGTTGACACAGAGTAAACTCGCAGATCTCCAGTATTTGTAAGACAAGCTATGTCAAATTCACTGTAGGTATCAGCTAAGGAAAAATGTGATAAGTTTTAATTACTTCAAATTGAACAAAAAGTGCATTCACTCTTTTGTAAAAATGGCAACAATTAAATGGCTGTTAAGCTTCAATTCAAATCTATGTCAAAGCACAGAAACTAAGATTGACATAAGTGCTGACAAGTCAATGGGAAAATTAGTCATACCTTCTCTCCTAAAATGTACAAAGTTGATTTTTCTAAGTCTGGCTCCATCAATTGCAGTTATTTTGTTTTTCCATCTAGGTTTCAAATTTGGCAGAGAGAAAGTCTGAAAAAGATCAAGTAAATCATGAAAACGAAACATAAATCCCAAAGCAAACAATTCTACTTAATTTTATCCAATGCAATTTTTAGTATTTAAGTTTGACTGGCTCAGGGAGCAACAAATAAATTGACTCGAGCAGGTATTAAAACTTGAACGCTGCTTACTTTGAGTTGTTCCTCCGAACATATGATGATAGAATGCTGACCTTCCATGTCTGGAGCCTTTGCTCTTTCATTTATTACTTCAAAAGCATCAGGCAGGACAGTATTTTTACCATCAATAACAGCCATACTCAAAACTGGTGCATGGTGTTTCAATTTGATTTCCTTTGCTAACAAACATGCAACATAATCTGATGTCCGCTTGTCTGATGGGGGAACGGTTAAATTATAGACATAGATATGCCCTCCATTTGTTCCTACCCAGAGTGATGGATTGTGAGAACCTCCTAAAGAAAGACAAAAAATTTAATTTCAAAGTATGAAAAAAATACACTTAAAAACCTGATAAAATATATATTCAAAACTGGTTTATAAATTACTAATATGAATTCATAAGGGTCCCACTCTTTTTAAGAAAAAAAAAACAACAAAATAGTGTAACAAAATAGAATATGTTTATCACATTTAGGCAGATAGTAGGGCATATATCATTTAGACTCATTTATTTGGTGTAATGGTAGCGTCCCCGTTCTCTCATCTAGGATATTGTGTGTTCAAATTGATCTGAGGTCATCCCTAACTGTGGTTAAACAACCAAGTGGAATGGAAGTATGACAGCTTTTCTCGGGGAAGAGGTAAACACCAAGTAAAAAAAAACAGTTGGAAGATGGCAGAGAACTTGGCCATGGGATTAACAATAGCCCTTACAAAAACAGCTGTTAATTTACCTTTTGAGTAACAGCTGCAAAAAAAATTTAAAAAATTATAATTTGAAATATGGGAAAAAAAAGTCGCCTTTTAATTATCAGAAAGTGTTCAAAAGAATTTAGATGAGGAAAAAGGTGAATCTTAATAAAAGGTGAACTAATCTGTATATACCATTAATAATGAATGTATCAGCGAAGTAGAGGCATCGCACCATGGAAGCCATAGAGTCTTCTCCACTACGTGCTTCAACTTGTCTTTCTTCAGGTTTGCAATCTCCAGCTCCAACAGCAGGACTAGCACCACCTGCAGAAGCAGAGGTACCAGTGGTTGCTTGTGTTTCCTCAATGTGTTCTGTTGGACTGTTAATAGGAAAGTTGGAATTAAAAAACTGAAATAGACGTGGGTAGGTAATCTAAAATATTTTTTAAAGAACTAAATCTAAAATCTTTATTATAATTAAGCTGTGCATTTAAGAACAAAGTATAGTATTTGAAGTTCAGTTTTACACTTGCTATTCAAGATGAATGTCTCAGTTTTTTTGTCCCAAAACTGTTATAAAAACTTTAAGATTTATGAGGGATTGCGATAATAAAATCTTGAAATAATAATGTAATGAGGATAATTATTACATTGCATTCTTTCATACAACTTTGATTCTCAAGGTATGAACAGGAAGAGAAACTACAACTAACAATGAACTTACCTTTTGCTATCATCTTTCTTGCTTCTGTCCTCTTTTACTTTTTTTTCGGACCGCCGCCTGCGCAATCTTCTAAATGACTCACGGAGTGATTTCTTGAGAGATTTTCTGCGAGACATTGCTGTTTCTGAAGTCCCATGCAGGTCTGCAGAAATAAAATCCATTTCCTTAAACATACCTTCTTAATATCATATGTAAGTTTAATTAACGGTAAAAAAAAATAATAATATCTCAATTAATAAAGATACTAAAGTTAATTGCATTAAAATAGCCTGTTATAAGCAAGTAAACTTGATAATGAGATATCCGCCTCATTCCCCTTACCATTTGGATTAAGTGTACATCTGGTGGCGACCTCTTTTTTCTGGGCATAATCCAATAGTGCAAATCCTTGGCCTGTACCAGCAGCAACACTGCAAAGAAAAGAATATTTGAAATTGCACAATCCTTTTGCCTTCAAAAGTTGTACAATGAAGACTTAATCCAATACAAAAAAAAATACAAAAAAAATTAATATTTGTAATAAAAAATAATATGTACAAAGACATTCACTTGAGTTTAAGAAATAAATATAAAATATATTTTTTTGCTGAATTTTGCTTTTACTTACAGCTGCCACTCTGAGTTAAGTGCTAGGGCTGTGCATGCAGCAGGTGGGTCTAGTTGCATAATACATGTAGGTTGAAATCCTGCAGCGTATTTTAGATCATCTACTTTGCAACTAAGGGCTTCATGCCCTTTCCAAACAAATCCTTCGTGTTCACTCATGATATTTACTTTGACCACCTGTCAAAAAGATGAGGATAATGATTCAAGTTATCAAAATTAAAATAACTTATATGTAATATACACCATTTTCGTTATTTTAACCCACTCCTGTAAATAAATTAAAAAATTCTTTAACCTTCTTTTATGCAAGAGGCAAATAGAAATATACATTTTTAAAACAAAGAAATGAAAATGAAAAAGGGAAGTCTTTTTGTATTGAATTTTGTTCAAGTATAAAACGAATGAAATTTTAATATTTATCAAATAGGATTATAAATATAATGACCATTCTATTATTACATTTGATGTTAATATCTGCATCACTGTCGCCCACCTCAAGCCTCAAACTATTGATGTACCAATTTTAAATATTGTTTCAGAAATATCTTTTAACAATATGCTCAACCATCTAACTTTCTGATTCAACAGATTGGAAATCAAACTGCTCCAGTGAGCATAATGCAGCAAAAGGAGCATGATGGGGCAGTATGCGGGTCTTTAGCTATAGAAAAAAGTGTAATGCAGGAGTGGAATAAAGCTTTTAATAGTATAAATATGCAGAAAGATACCTTTAAGTCTTGCTCCCTTTCTTGCCTTTCCATGTTGAAGATAAGCACTTGTCCAGCTGAACCAGCTGCCACTAAGGTTTCACTTAGTGCACATAAGGCAAGTTTCTGAATAGCAAGCCTTGGATCATCTGTATATGGGTCAAAAGTACCGACCTATATAAAAAGTACAAATACTGACTCATCAGTGCATTCATGACAGGAATAGTTAGAATTAGCATCAGCATTTTGTAATATACACTTCATGTCAAGTACGTTGCTTCTGGTATGTAGTAAGTAGGGTCCTTCAGTTAGTAGCTATATGCAATTCTGGCTTCGAAAAACATTACAAAATATCATGCTGTGTCAGCTAAAAAATTTGTAAGAACCACTGAGTATGAATGATTTAAGTGTAGTAAGGGATTGGTGATAACACTTAGTTATGTATAACTAGTCCAGCAGACTTCATTGAGATGTATAGTTGGAAAGTAAAATTTAAAGGCATTCAATAATGTTAATCAATTTAAGAAGTACAAGTATAATTTTGGAAAACTGGCAAATCAATTTAGAGAATTAAAATAAATAGTACTTCAAAAATAAATGATGCTCTCTTCAAACTAACTCAAATTAAATTCAATCTGTGTAGATTTTCTTTAACAGAGGTGATTATAAACATTCTAAAAATATATTTAAAAATAATACATAATGTATTTATTATGACTTGGGGTTATAAGAATACCTTTTCAGATACAGACATGCTTTATTTTCTCAGGATTGCAAATTTATTGGAAGGACTTTAAATAATTGGATCCCACACCCACCCTCTAATAATAATTATAATGCTGCTCTTGTTGGATTTTGTTGAAAATGTAAAGTTAGTGTTACCTTATATTTTAATTCTTAAGATTTATCAGTGAGAGAAAAAACTGACCAAACAATTTTCATATCTTTAATTCTATTTGTGATAAAAAGATATCTTGGTGACTTTGAAAAGCTATCTGTGCACGTCAGATATATTTGAAAATGTGCTATGTGCTTTTAGAATTACATGCACCTTAAAAGATCATTCTACAAGGAAATCTCATCGAATAACAAAACATAAACCCACAGAACGCAACCCACCTTTCTAAATGGAGGCCACTCTTCATCTTCTGGACTATGAGAATCTGACGTATGGTCTTGAATTCCAAATACAGGAGCAGTACTCAGCTTGTAAAGCAATCTAAGGCTTGAGGTTGATGCATCCCAAAATCGAACAGTGCCATCTTCGTGACTAAATTAAATAATTTTATTTATAAACATATGTTAAAATAATACAACTTAACACTTAATAAATATGTTTTCCAACCCCAGAAAATGCTGTTGTAAGACTTTTCAAAAAAAGGCTGCGGCTCCGAGAAGTGAGAGTTTGGTTTTATAAAAAAATATTTAAAAATTATTGTAGGGTTTGTAAGACAAAATTTGGTATCAAATGAAAGATAAATGAATAGACTATATGTTTCTAAACTTACTTCTTAAGTTTAAATAAAATAAACTACCACAAATGACATCCGAATAGTATTTAGTCAAAATGGAATCGGAAACGCATCACCTCTATTTGGACCCGGGTCTCTTTAGACTCAATCCTATTCGGGTGTCATTTTTGGTAGTCTATTTTAAACTGTTCTAATTGTAAAACGTTGTCTAGGTTAAAATGATATAGATTTATTTATGAGGTGAAAATATACATGAATTCTAAAAACATTAAATTGGATCAATAAAAGAAGCTAACCCCCTTTTTTTAGCCCATGCCCCACCAAATAGCTAAAAATGTTTAATGCCCCCCCCCACCCAACCCGTGTAAACTTTTCTAAAACTGTTAGCTCATTAAACAAAATGCTGACTATTCATGTTGAAGTGCATAAAATAGAAAAAAAAAAGATCTAATACCTGTGTCAATATGCCCACTTAAGTATTATTTTATTGCTTGCATACTAAATTTCAAAGAAGAAAAATTTTCAAATTATTAACACCGCTTTTTAGCTAAAATGATCAAAATAATAATAAATCAGCACCGTTGTGCAAAAAAAACTTACCCAGTAAGAAGAAGGTCTTTTGAAACTGGAGACTGTGTCAGGTTCTTTCCACCTTTTATAGGCCATTCCTTAAACAAAAAATTTTATATTCATTTTTTTTTAAAAACTAAAATGATTTTCATGATACATCAACCTTTTGAAAGATGTTGCAGGGTACTTTAAAACAAGATAATTAGATTAAAAAATTTTTAAAACGTTTACACCTTATCAGGAATTACATTTTTTCAAAAATATCTTCTTTATTGAAACAAGCTATTATATAAGTTTGCCACCCTTTATTAAATTGCATGCAAATTTTTTTTACTTCTGTAAAGGAAAATCTGCTCTTAACTCTCAAAAGACGGGAGATTGAAAAATCTGTCATATATGGCGGGTGAAAAGAATGACCCCTAAAATATATATAAAAATAATATTAAAAGGCGACAATAAAGATTTACTATTTTGGAATGTTAAATTTCTATTTGGCAAGAAAGAAAAATTGTTTATTTTACTAGTTCTTGAAGAAATCTGGTAGCAACTTATCCATTCATAAATTTTACTTTTCGCCATTTACTCATATTTTGCCACCATTCCGGTTCGCTTTTACTACACTCTAAAACATTGCTATGGAGTCTGATTCTGATTATAAGCTTGAAATGGACGACTATTCTTACTTAGAAGAATATTTATGATGAAGATAGCACTTCAGATGTGTCTGATACCGAGAATTCTGTAAATTATCATCATAATAATAGCATCCAAGGTTTGTTTACTTTTTTCATTCATACTCAACTCACGCATACTGTGATACTTCTTAGCACTATTATTAGCCCTAACATTAGTTTTATTCAAGTTCCAGTAGTATAAAATTCTTAAATAGATTAAATTATTTATTTGTTTGAAACTAATTTGTAGTTATAATATTATTTTAATATTATTACGTTTCAGTTAGCAAAATGTAAACAATGGTTCTCAAGGCCAAGGCTATTTACTATTATTACACTGTAACAATCAGCTGAGTTCCCTTTTCAATGAAAACTTGAAGTAAAAGTAATTTAGGCAGATTGTTTATTATTTTGATTTCTTTTTATTTATATTGTATTTTTTTAATTTTAGCTAAACTATTTTTTTTTTTATATTTTGACAGCATCTATGAAGGGCAGATGTCAAACATAGTCAATACAATGGGTTATGATGACAAAAGACTGTGGGACTCTTTGCTGCATTTAGACCAGAGGTGAAAAGCACTATTGCTTCCTGATGTTATAACAAGAGAGGATATAAGGAGATTTTAAAAGCAAATTGACATTTTCAACCACTTTACTACAGATTTGGTTGGCTATTAGTAAGCCTTGTGCGCAGGACAATGGACTGCAGAACTTTTGTGTTTTCAAAAATTGGTACCATTATAACATCATTGAAGGGGAATGTTAGCTACTAAGTGGATTTATTATGAATGCAGGACTTATCAAGCTCTTAATTTTACAAGAAATGTCCAGGAAATCCTTTTATGATGGACAATGAGCAAGGCCATTAGTACTAAGGACATATTCAAGGCTATATTGAGTTTCCTAAAAGTTTCTGATACTGAAAATAAAGGAAACATGCTGTGCAAAATTGGGAGACACTTCTGTATCTCAATGCAAAATACAATCAACTGTATCAGCATCAAGAAAATGTAGCAATTAATGAACAATTTAGGGAACAATTGACATATTTGATGATGAACCTGATACTGTAAAGCCCGAAATCTTTACATCGTGCGCCGCAACATGACAATGATTGACAATAACAAAAAATGTAATTGTGGGTTACCAAAACAGGGTAAAATGGTCAGAGCATATGTCACAGGCTTTCTTTTTGATACATTTGTATGTTTTAATAAATAAAGAAATTGTTTTCAAGAATTTTTATGCATGGTCTTGGCGAAGGATTATATCCTTTGATCGGTATCTCGGGGATGCATAAAAAAATTTATTTATTAAAATTTGCCTTTTTTTCTTCACTTTTCTTCTCAAATAATACTTACTAATAACCCTCTAAAGGATAATATGATGCAGTATATGTTTTCCTTTGAAAAAAAAAATTATTAAAAAAAATAAAAATAATTTTGACTTTTTGAGAAATATTTCCTTGAATGATATGTTATTTACAAATAGTCATAACTTTTTTATTTATGAGTCTATTCTTTTGAAATTTGAATATGTTTTATAGTATTGAACAGATTCTAATAAAATATCAATTTTATTGATTTAATTGGAAACACTTTTTTTTTCCTTCTTTGTAAAACTGTGATGTTATATTTTTGTCGACTTAAAAAAATAATTTTTTTGCCCAAAAATAATAAAACATCAAATTTAGCAAGGATATTTTGTACAAACACCAAGTATCAATTAAAGAGCATTCAATTACCTTTAAAATCATATATAATACTTGGAGGTAGCTACAAAATTACAGTCATGAGACACTTTGAAGAATAAGATATATTCAAGGACATTAAAAAATGGAAAAATCTACAGTCTTTTGAGAGTTAAGGCTGTTCATCATCAGTTCTTACTTACCCTGTTAGAGTGGATCTTGTTTTGGTTATCTCCAGCATCTGTCATTTTTTGCCACAACTGTTCTGGTACATTGCTAATGTGCTGAGAGCATGTAATAGCTGAGGAATGAACACTGTTGAGATAAGGCAGTCTGAAGCTTGGCCAGGATTCAGATTCCAGGTCCAAAACAACCAGTTCTTCTTCTGCTAAAATCACCAGAGCATGTGGATCATCCCTGTCTGAAATATGGAATAGAATTTCGCACCACTGAATTATTTTCAATTCTAATTCAACCAGGGCATCTCTTGGGATACGAGGATATATTATAGAATAGAACAGAAGAACCATTGACTTTAAATATAATTTTATTTTTTATTTTTATTTGTCCATTCAAATTTGTTTAAACTGTAAGCTATTTTCTCATTTCTAGAGTTCTCATTGTGCTATAATAACTTAAAAAAATTATTTGAAAAAAAAAACAACATTCCAATTTTTCCTTATGGCAGAGGAACTTCATGAACGGGCATGACTTTTCCGCTTTTTTAGTTAAGATTTAGGGTTACGTTACAAAAAAAAATCAAATCTAAGGTGTTAGTCAACAAATTTGTGTGAAATAAAAAGCAAAATAAAGGAAAATGAATGCAGATTTATTATTGTACTCACATTTTGCCATTAATCCTCATATGAACACAAATATTTGCAAAAAAACAACATATTGTTTGTGATTGTGAGTTATCTATTCACTATTGACAAACACTGCCAAAAATCGAAGTTTGTAAGATTCAACACTGCTTACTACGCTGATTTCACTAATATTATTAATAATATTAATATCTAGTTCCAATTTACAGTCAATTCGTGCACTTAATGTCACTGAAATTGAATCCAGCGAAATCTCCGCTAATCAATGGAATAATAAAGGCAAATAATCGGCAAAATACATTTCGAAAAAAAAAATTTCTTTTAAACCCATAAAACTACAAAAAAATAATCGATTAAATACTTGTAACTGGCGCCTACTCTATTGAGCTATTGGAAAAACCGGATGTAAACAATAGGAAGTCTTGTAAAGCCTCGGAGGTCACGAGAAAACAACACTATGTCGACACGAACGCTTTTGGGCGTTTTGCCCTATAAGTGGTAAAGTCGTTTTTGGCCGCTTTGCCCCGTAAAGGGTTAAAATGCGTTGTTTCTTTTTAAGGGGGTCTGAGATTTAACTTGGTGAAACAATTTTGGGGTGGGGGGGGGGGGGTCCTTGAAAAGGTTGGGGAAACCCTGAATAAAATGCTTATCTTTTAAGGAATGGTGATTTGTTTGTCACTCACCAGAATTTACTAAAATTTTAAATCATAGATATTAAATCATAGCTATTAAATCATAGATATTAAATCATAGCTATTAAATCATAGCTATTAAATCATAGCTATTAAATCATAGCCATTAAATCACCAGAATTTACTCAAATGTTAATACATACCTGTTTCAATAGCATCTTTCTCATCTGCTTTACAAATTATCAGGAAATCAACGACTCTGGATGTAAGATCAGAAACGACATGATTTTCTCCTTGCATAATGCTCACTGTGTGTCTGTCACCGTAACTGGCTCTGGGCATACCTCCAGAAAAGGCGATGAGTGGTTCACTGATTATTAAAAAGAAATTTATTTTTAACATATAGGGAAGAGTTATTGAATAATTCATCTAAAACTCAAAGCATTCTTTATGAGTATTTGGTTGTCAGTGCATTGTCAGCCAAATAATTGTGTAGAGACCATGAAAATGCTGTATATTGTATAAAAGACAGATTTTTAAATGTTTGAAACATTTAAAGAATAACACATTGACAAAGATCACTGACTAAGGCAAATTACAGAATGGGTGCTTACTTCTTTGTCATTTTCCACTGGATTTTATTAATTGCCTTGCATGGAAATGGCCCTGAAAATAAATGTTCAATGATTAATAAACGTAATTTAAAGCAAGTTGTTTACTTCCGAGACAGAAATGTAACTATTACAATGTTATCCAACCTTTATGAGCTAATAGCCAAATTTAAAAAATGGTCACTTCAGACAACTAAAAACATTCTGAATTGTCTTGAAAAAAGTTATTATCGAAACATAAATAATAAATAAAAAATTCTTCATCAATAGTTCTAAGTCAAACAAATATCAGTAAAATGAATATACTTTCAAGTCTGTTTCAGTGACATTTTGGCATCAAACTGGCCCTGCATAAGATTACATAAAAACCTCCTTGACTTTTGCAGTCGTTTGTTCCATTTCACAGACAGGTGTTTTAAAAATTATACAAACTTGAATAAAAGTATTTTTCCAAAGTTGATTTATTAATATTGCAAACCAGATGTGTGTGTCAATGTCTTAATGAAAACTAACCATAAGGTGTGGCTGCAGGCTCCTTTGGTTCAGTATCTCGAGCATTCCAAGTGATGTAACTACCATCATTGTGTGCACTGATAAACTCCTCGCCATTTCGATGCCATGTCAGAGACTCAAGTTGCTGTTTATAAAATTTAAAGCATGGAGAATTAATCAAATTAATATGGAGACCAAATAACCTATTGCATAAAATAAAAATTAAAAGTTAACTAAGATTCAAATTAAAATAGGAACAGGTATCTTAACTCTTTCTCTCCGGAACAATGCTCTCATCGTCGATTTGAAATGAAGATTTTGGCGTATCGTCGATGTATAAAAACCTGTTTATTTCGGTTCTTTTCTTAGCTATTGGTATTTAGTTATTTTAAATCAATTCTAGAATGATTTCCCTTTCATAAACATCCGGTTTTACTGTGTTTGAACGAAGAACGAATTGTTTGAAGCGGTTGTTTGGATTGTCCATTGTATTTTTGTTTACAAACATGAAATCTTGACCTGACCCATCTGGTGACCCATCAAATAAAGGTGGAAAATATTACTCTGATGATGATTCAGACAGTGATTTTATTATTTCAAATGCAGAAGCTGATTCCTTTGAATAGTATATGATTATAATCCTAGTACTACTAGTATTAGTAGTACTAGTGACGAAATAATGAAATTGGTAATTCATCAGCTGATGAACAACCAGCCCCTCCCCCAGCTAAAGTGCACATCAATATGAATAGTTTTTAGGCTTAGCATAGCTAAATACAGATGAAAAGATATGACAAATGTATTGTAAATGTTCCATTTACCATTATAAATGTTAGTACATACAAGAATACAGTGCAAATATTTTGTAATAGCAACAAATTGTTTCCAGTGGAAATAGTAACAAAATTTTCGCAAATTTTTTGTGTGACAGTGACAATGGATAATGTGCTCTGAGGTTTAATTTTATTCGTTTTTTAAGTTGATCTTTATTATTTGTGATGCACATATGGATATAGTTCAGAAAAAAAAACATTTTTGTTACACTTTGGAATATATATTTCTCCTCGTGTGACTTGGAATGAGCGTTTGAGAACAGTTGGTAAGTTTTTTATCTTAAATTTTTATTTTTCTGAAATGATAATCACATTTATATATTAAAATGTAAACCCAAGTCTGGTTTGCTTGTAAAGGGCATACATTCTCCTTTAAATCCATACCACACTTAGCACTTTCTGATGAAAAACAAAAAAGTTATGAAGGTTTAGAGACAACACAGTAGTGTGTTCCAAAAACGCAAAATAGATAATTCCGTCAGAACGCGGAAAATAATTCCGGAGAGAAAGAGTTAAGATTTATCAAATGCTTTTTTAAGTACTAAAATTTTGCTTTTGCACACATGATAATCCAAACCAGGAAAATCGGTCTTTTCCCCTATTTTTATTGTTTATGAGATGGATTTTTTACTCACTTGTACTAATTATACACAAATAAAATTAATATGAGATTAAAGTTTAACTCTTTAACAAAATTTCGGCAGCGACTTTCAAAATGTGCCCGTAAAATTTTTGTTTTGACTCGTGTTATTTGAGCGGCGCTCCGTGCCTAATCAATCGAGAAGCATAATTTTACCACCATTTGAAAGTAGGGATCATGGGCTTTCGTTTGATATATAGAAAGTATATCTACCTTGCTTATTGCACTTTGAAAAAGCCGGTTGAAAACTTTTGTATAAGAAAAATGGGTGAGGACACAAAGATATTAGTACTTTCTTTACACTGTTGGAAAGCTCAGGCTTCTTACTATTTAATATCATAAGATCAAATGAGTGGGAACGATAGGGGCGAAGCGGCGATGTTTACAAAAAACACCCGCATTTTCAGTTCCACACCGCTAGCACTAGCCGCGCGTTTGACAACAAGTACCAGCGTCACGGCGGGAGCTTTTTAGCCATGTTTGAGGCTATAATCAACAAGTAAGCAGGAGAATTAAACTTTCATATAATACTAATACTGAAAATGTTGGTTAGAAATGAATTAAACAGATTTTTTCAGATATTCTATACATTTTAAGATTCTGAACCATTGTGTTGATTGTGAACTTGACTGGGAGTCATGTTGTCGATCGGACAAATTGTATTTAATTGAGGACAGTCTAGCAATAAAAAAAATTGATAAACATATTTTAAGACATGATAATGTTTGATATGTTATTGTATTTTATAAATATAAGATTTTAAAAAGTTATTATGGTTGATTTCAAAGGGGGTTTCTGTCCGATCAAGAAAAAAAAAAGGATACCGGCGAGACTGCATGTGGGTGGGCCGACGCAAATTATTATCTGGGGTAGGAGGCTTCAAGTGAATAAAACATTATCATGACAAAAGATAATTGAATACAAATTTTGGTTTGGACTACTTAGTCTGTAAAATAATAATAATTCAAAACTATTTATGTCACAGCATCTTTAAGCAGTTAATAACTTGAGATTCAGTGAACAGGAAGAAGCAAATATTTACAAACCTGTGAGGCATTAAAATTAATTTCTGCTACATTATCCTTTGTATTCCACAAGACTATTAACCCTCTGTTGAATCCAACCAATATCTGTAATGTCAAATGAAAGATGACTAGTTAAAATTTAAGTACAATAAATTTATAATTGTCAATACACTTAGACTTATTTCTTTCCTATTGTCCACATCATTGCCCATACTGTAATAGTAAAAATGGTGTTGACATGCTCGAATGACAACTACTTCAAGTGCTTATATGCAAAACATTTCGCATAAATGTTAATGCCATTAAAATAAATATGCATACCTCTAAAGCAAAACCTGTTCTACAGGCTTTGGTGCAAGCACAAAGTTACATAAATAAATGGAGGCTGAATTTATTAACATTTTAAGTAGACATAAACTTATCCACCCAGATGTGGGGAGGCAAATATTTGACTTTAAAACGTGAAATTAAATATTTAAATAAAATTAAAAAGACAAAACAAAACATACCTTATCATTATTAACTGGACTGCTAGCAATGGCCTCCACAGCCCCCGGACTTACTTTAAAATCATCTGACACACTGAAAAATTATATAAACAAGGTTCTCATTTTGCAATAAATATTTGCATAAGCAATTGAATTCAAATTATATATGAATGAATGTTGGTGGAATCTTGACTTTTTAAAAAGTAATCCAATTTACCAACAAAAATAAGCTTTTCTAAGAATACTCTTCAAATGATTTGGGTGTGAAAGATATACAAGCTGTGAGTGGACCGTTTCTAGGCAACTGTTTCGTCACAGTTACTGTCATGGGGTAAAAAATAATGAAGAAAACCTAGAGGGCGTCCGATGATACACCGGGATGGAAAGGGTTGGATAATCGGATGTTTTAGGAAGTTCTAATAGATATTGTAGAGGCAACACTACCAATCGACCAGGCGCTCCTTGGTTGCGTTTGTCTTCTGTTGACGAATTAACCGAGTGAACTGCAGAGTGTTCCTGACTTAAGGCTTTGTTGTCAAATTTTTTTCTCAGATTTGTGGGAGCATAATGTTTAAAGTGTGAAAGAAAAGTTGTTTTTAATATACTCTGTCCCTCAGCAACCTCCCAATATCTTCTTTTATGCTTGTTTTCAGAATTCAAAATAATTAAAATATTTATATATATAAATTAGAATATATAATTAATGAAGCAAGAGTACATCTTACTTTTGAATGATGGCATCCAAAATGATGACATTTACTTCTGTTAAAGTTTTAACATCAATTAGATGAACATTGCCAGTTTCTGTACCAACATAAAGAGTGCTAAAGTCTGTGCTCATACTACATGTAGACATGCTCTTGACTTTGCTGTTGAGAAAATACAAATCTTAAATAAAATCATTAATGACATAAACAATTGGACTATTTCTATTGTTTCCACAAAAGTAGAAGGCATGAATGTAACAAATCAATTATAATAAAACAAAGTGGCATTATAATAGACTGAGTTAACAGAATCTTTGACTCACAGTGATTCAGCACCATCAGACTTTTTTTCTTCTAAAACACTAGTGCCACCTTTATTGTTAATTTCCCAAAGGTGAAGTGAGCTGTCACTACAGGCAGAGATAAGACGTCCCTACAAAAAATTATTTAAAAATGGAATAATTAACATACAAAAAACAAACAGGAGATGCAATTAATATAAAATTAAATTTATAAAAAATACTGTGTCCCTGCAAGCAGGCAGCAAATGTTATCAGAGTATGAAAGAAATAAACGAGCACTCCTTGGGTAACATAAGCAAAGAGCCTGAATGCAGAGGTAAAATAATATTGCACGCTTATGACTCAAGCACACTCCATGAACAGCCGGTGAAGTTGTTTAGGTGATGGGTGAGCATTAGACATGGCAGAGCAGGACATGCTAATGAAACACCACTTAAACACCTGGTAGTGTGGATCTAAGGTAACGTGCTTAATTAATACTTTTAAATAGGGATTGTCATTTATACCTCTTCTGGAATAAAAAACATGCTTGTGACCGAAACATCTCCTTCATGCACTGCAGAAACTTCAAAACCTGGGGCGCCATAGCTTTAGAATTGTTAAGAAAAATTACAAAATATAAAGCAAGTAAGGATTATGAGTACAGTAGAACCTGGTTCTGTCGATGGCCCAAAAAGCACCGAGATAACCAATGATCGAGATTAACGAAAACCAATATGGCAACAATACATTAACATGTGCTTGACATTTCTTTATGTACACGATGTGCATTTATAAATTAGATGTACAAGCATATTTTCTTGGAGGTTCTTTTGTTGTTTTTTTTAACACAACAGCGTTACCGTGATATGTGGGGTGCCACTTTTCCGGATTATCCCTGAATTCCAGATTCGCGAGGCTAAATATTTTTCAGCCCCGGGTTCGTGATTTTTTATTTTCTCTCGCTCTGGATTTTCCAGTCCAGTTTGTTCAAATAAGGATTCTGGGTTTAAAAAAAAAAAACAATCTGAGATTGTGTGAAAGCCTATATTAAGCGATAACCAGGTATTGCGACTTTTGTTTGCAAGCCTCTCACTCCTCGCTGTGTCAAGTTAATTGCGCTGACAAGGATATTGTAATTTCTTTTCAATTACAACAGTTTGAAGTAGGCACGTTTCTGTTGTATATAATTTTCAAAAGCCGGCGATTGGTCATGGGGGACCGAGATAACAGAGGTTAAGTGGCAAATTTGGTCACCTTTTGCGCTCGAGATATCAGGGTTCGTCAGCATAACCAAGGAGAAAATGCCACGACAAAGAGAGAATTTGGAAGTTCAACGTTGAACTTATCACAAACGTCGAACAGAATTGGCGAGTTAAGTGGGTTAGACTGTATGTTAAACATTTTAATGACAAGAAAAATATAGGCATATCTAAGTAGTAGAAAATTGCTTGTTACATAGGAATATATTTTATATCTTCAATTAGATACTTTGGTCAAAAATTTAAACATTTTGTAAAAATAAACCAATGGCATAGTTGAATAGAGCTAAATTTTTACAGAATTATAACACCAAAATTATATTTTTAGCTGTTGTAGTTTTAAAGTTATGAATTTTTAAAGTACGACTTGGTTTGTCCTTTTTTAACATGGACTGCATCTCCACATTCTGTGACCTCATTCCGCCGATCACGTCATGCGCAATGACTATATAGTTTATATAAAGCTAAGGCATTCCCTTATCACTAAAATACTGTTTAGGGTCGATTTATTTTAAACTTTCAACTTTGGCACATGAATAATTAATTAAAGCTTTCCCTGACCAAAGGTTTAATAGTTTTTGCACACGGCAAACACTTATGAATGAAACTCTGAGATAGTACTACGATATAACCGTTATGCAAGTGGCTGAGAATGGTTGCCAATGACAACGTGTAGCACACGGAAATTTCTGATCATTTATAATATGGACTCTACAGGGTTTATAAAGCTCAAATTAAAACATTCCAGTTTAAATGTCTTCAAAATGCATTATGAAACACAAGTTATCAAATATTTTGATGTATATAGTGGTAATAATTAAATATTTCTTAACTCATTCCCGACGGTTGCGACTAAATGCGTCTTTTCGGGATTCGCCGGATGCGTCCAAATGCGTCCCGGCGCATAGCGACACACCGCTCTCATATCTATTTAAAAATAGCAATGAAATCTCGCATCCCTCGAGACCTCCGGCGATGGCGTGGTTCAGCGTGATTTTAATTTAAAAACCGGAAGTTTTTATCTTGTTTCGCTTTAAAACTACGTGTGCTTTAGTACGGCGCGTCTATATGTAGCATGTGTTCGTCCGAGGTGCCGAAAATCGATTTTTTGGTCATTGTTCATTATTTTTTCCCCGCTAATGTTATATTTATATTAAACCTTATTAATTTTTTGTTGCATTTGTTCTTAATTCATTAACATTAAATAATATTTAGTAGCTTAAATACATTTTTTAAAAAATGTAAACAATTTCCAAACGGGGTTACTTCCCTTTCTCAGGCAAATAAATTAAATACGGAAGTAGCATTGCAGGAGGGATTGAGTTAAGTATCGGCAACTTCCGCCATTAAAAAGGGGGCGTGGCCCACGCCATGTCGCAATAAGGCTGAGCCCCCTTATGGTGATATGGGTCACTGGGAGAAGCGTAGCGAACGTGGGACACGACCTACATCAATGAGAATTGGCACAGATATATATCAATATCTAATGCCTTACACGATTTAATATGAAAGACCTGTTCCTTTGATTTCACAAAAAATTTTGTATTTGAAGATGCCTTATATATACCAAAGATTTTCAAAATGAAGTTCGATTGAAAAAAGCAAAATAGTTGGATGGAAATGTAGGGCAAGATGTCTTCCAAATTATAAGGCCGGAAACGGAACTCAAATATATGTCCAAATAACTAATTTAATAATAAATAGACACACACATCGGAAAATTAAAAACTCTGATTTTTCGGCGCCGACGCCTATTTCCGATACAAAAAAAGTAGTAGTCTCCCTTGTTTTATCGAAGTATCTACTTCAATGCACTTAAAATTCAAAAAGATACATCTTAACAGCTCCAGATTTTGTTCCAATGGCAAGAAGCTGCAGCTTTGGGTCAAACGCCAATGCACTGGGCTTAGTTGGAAATCCATGTTCCACACACTGAAACATAACATAGAAAATTAGAAACACAAACTAAAACACTTCTTAAATATTAAGTTAATAGGCCTAATAAAAACCAAAAAATGTTCATGCAAACTGACAAATTTATTTGGGAAACTGCTATTGCAAAGTTTCAGAATCTACTTATTTTCATCAATGGTCCATGTAAGTAATATAACAGTATCCAGTTTTGACATTTGTATTATTAAAATAAAAGTACGAAAATGATCCACTCCCTTAAAATGTATGTTTAGGAAATAGTAAATCAGAATCAGACCTTCCCTTTTTTTAAAGAAGAAATATCTATGTGGTTGCCACTGTGTGTATAGAATAGATGTTTACATTTCTACATTATTGGGTTTTGAGAAATGTTTATCTAGGTACTTTGACACACATTTTAAATATTGTCCAATAGCCACAAATGATACACCATTTTAAAGGGCTCGCTATAAGCTTTGCAAAAACACCAATTTCATCTTTCTATCTTTTATGGAAAAAAAGTTATGATTTTTTTGGTGAATTTTTTAACCCCTTTATTTATCTTTGTATTTAACGAAAAAACTTGTGACCAACTTTCCACATTTCTGCTTTATTTTGTCCACAACTTTTTTATTTTAAAAGATAATGCTACCAAACTTTCAGGAGACATTCTCAATGCAATATACAACACAATAAACAACAAAACTTTTATATAACATCAAGACTTTTATTTTTTTATATATTTAATCGAGGGTATGTTCAGAAAAAAGTGAACAGAAAAATTGGGAAAATCATTATTTATACAGGAAAAATTGAAAAAAATAACATGTTTATTGAATTTTAACTAATTTTATTATGCTTGTGTTAAATTTTAAATCATTATATTTATAAAAAGGTAAGTAGTCTTTTTTTATATATAAAATTGAACGCATGTAATTATATATAACAAATACTAATATCACCCATAAAACTAATTACAAGCATACCCTTATCGGAGTATGTCATTAAATATTTAAAAGGTAATGGGGATCTTCTGCCTGCCATTTTCCGGGTAGAATGCCCTATAGTGACTTCTTTGTCTTGTTGATGAAACCCACACATTTTTCCTTCATAAACTTTGTCGCCGCCATCTGCATCCAAACATTCCGCCTTATTGGATATGGGCCATGGAAGGAATTCCAAAGTTTGCAACAGAAATGTAAAATTTTCTCTTCCACCCAAAAGAAGCCTAACATTAAATACTAATCATAATTCTGAATCTATACAATTTTTAGTTTCTTTTTAATATTATTCAAGTGATGTTTTTATTAAATTTATTTCCTTTTTTTGTTTTGTTTATTTAATTAGAAATATATTATTGTTGATATAAATGTTAACATTTTCTTATGCCTCTGTCCTAGTTTGATATAATTACTATGATGATGTAGAGTCTTATTTATTTATTTATTTTAATAAACTTGTTATAGACTAATTCATAGGTTATCTAATTTTAATTTTAAACAAGTCACAGTGACTCAGTGACGCAATTTTCACAAAAAATAAATATGTACGAAAAAAAAAATAATTATGCATTACCATATTTTATTGGAATTACAATTGATAATAGTATATTTTTAATAGTGGTAGCAACTGCTTTTATTTTGTTATTATCATTAATTATAATTTATAAATACCACTAATAACTAGCATTATATATTATAGTAGTAGTATTACTACTACTACATATAATAATTATATAAATCAAGGGACAAAACAAGTCCGAAATTCACCGGACTACACGAACTACAATTATTTAAAATTATTTAATTTATTAAGTTGTACTACTTTCTAATAATATTGTAAAACAGTTTTCCCTTTATTAACTAATTAGTCTACCACGGATTATCAAAGATGAACTATAATGAATAAATGAAAATATCTTTAAGTTAAATTGGTAATAACAACCATTTCCGACAACCCACTTTTTTTTGTGAGGGGGGATGACTCGGGTGACTACTAACAATTTTATTTTCTTACACCTTCCAGTTGGATTGGCATAACTTTTGTGCGTTTGAGCTAATTTTAATGAAGTAAAGTTATTAAAATGTGTGAATGAATGAAGCAGTATTGGGCTAAACCACTATGTGTTTGAGTTTTACATTAAAAAGTAATAAGCAATTAACGTACATACCGATGAAAAATTAAATGCGTTACCGGTCACAAGATTCTAAATGCTGCAAATATGGTATTCACATGTTTGGAAAAATATGTGCTCTACGTCACCGATAATTTAAATACTATTATTAGGAAACAGTGACGTACAACGCAAAAAAACGACACCCTCGCTATGCCGTATAGCTATATTGCAGCTCAAGTTTTTCCGTGATTTTTCGACTGCGCAGAAGGGATGCGCGTGCGTCTTTTGAAATACCTAGTTTATCCTCTAAAAAATATAATAATGTAAGCCCACCCAAACTCTTTTAACCCTCCTGAACTACAAAGAAAACAATCATTCTATTACATATGATATTAAAGATTAATTATACTTGCATAAAAGCAGGGCCAACTTAGGTTATCCAGTACCACCGGATAAGTTTGTTATGTAGTATGAGTGAACTGATACCCCCAAACAATGACATTCTCTCCCATTACACATCCATAATATACTGACCATCCAGGCCTTCAAAACTGCACTCAAGACACATCTCTTCAAACTCTACACTCTACTATCCCGACTCATTCTCACCCCCCTCTAACCCATTAACGATGCTCGATACTGCTGGGTGCCGCCAATGGCTAGACAGGTAAATAGTTCTGGGGTGGGAAAGGTCAATATTTTACAAAGCTGTTTAATGTTTTTAAAATAAATTTATGTAACTAACAGACACTTAATTTTAATGTCATGTTTAACATTGCAAATTTTTGTGTGAAGTGCGGTGAGCCCAGACCAAGGCTGTGGAACCGCACTATATAAGACCACTGTACTATAATAATAATAAAATACAATGTAAAAGAGCGCCAGCGGCCCTACCACCAACGGCATTTTAGCCCTTTTCAAAATTTTTACTTTTTTTGTTTTCTTTACTTTAATTATGCCTACTATTAAAACTTACTACCTTGAAATTAATACAACCGTAGGCTATATTTATAAATTTGATTGGTTTCATAAACGAAAAAAAATCCCATGCCTAAATGAAATATGAAGATGGAATGAAACCAACAAGCCCAGTGTCCCAGCCTAAAACTAAAACATCCAACCCCCAAATACGAAGTTATAACAAAAGTTACAAAGCTCAATAATCTCAAAGACCTACCTTCTGAAATTTGAAAAGTTCCTTTTTAAGCCGTTCTCGTTCCTCCCCTTCTTTGGGAGGTTGTCTTTTGAAGAACTTTAACATTTCTTTCTAAATGTCAATTCCTGCAGATGCAAAATCATCAATGAATGATACCGGCCATCCGAAGTGTGAATGGAATAATTTATAAAAATGCGAAAAAAGCGCTCAGCGTTTCTAGCCGGTGGCAGGCTACACGATTCATGTCATAATAATTTATTAAGCTTAATAAATAAACCACACTATCACTAGATTTGGATAAAATTTATAAAAAGTGTTTGCTTCATAAATTTTGATCTATATAGCTAATTAAAGTAAACAAATATATTATGTTTTATTCACACTAACTGGTCTCCAACGTAGTTTAATAAAGAACTTTATCTCTAACCTGCATGCAGTTAGTCAGATGCTACTATGAAAGAAGAAAATAAGCGTACACAAGCCTGCCAGATTTTCGCCAAGTAAATACATAATAAATAAGACAAAAATGAAAGACGGATACTTTCCGATGCTTTGGGGAAAATTTTGTATTTATAAACTTATAAATTTCAATAATAAATTATTTGTGTTAGATTCGAAAAGTATCATCTATTTAACAATGTTCTTTATGGAAACGAGAATTCTCTTTAAGGATAAATAATTTATAAACACTTCGTTTAGTGTTTCTCTTAAACAAAAGATTTATTCAAATAAATTGCTTTACAATATTAATGCCCATAAACATCTTTTATATTTTATATTTTCAGAAGCCCTTCACCCCATTACAAAAAAAGTGAGGATTTTAAAATAAAGAGTTATGAATTTTGTATTGACAATCTGGCAAAGGCAGAAAATGGATGCGTGGTACACATCATTTTTAAAATGGAGATATTAGTCCGCGTGTCAAAATTCTAAAGTTAGTTGACGACTCATGTGCGTTACTTTAGTATTTACTTATAAAGTTCTGGAAATTAATTTAAATAAATTAAATTGATACAAATTGCAGCAATGTTTGTTTTCGCGCGTTAACACAATAATACTTTGGAACTATAATATTTGGCGGATGACTGGCCTTGAATGTTTAGGCGGGTAGGAGAAGGTGGGGAAAGCTGATTTGTTATTGTACCGGTACATGTATAGATCCAACTTTGCATATTTAAATTTTGGAAAAGCTCTTAATTTGACCGCTCATCCAACTAATTATTTCAAAAATAAGAAACTCCATTTATGAATAGGTGTAACATGGGAAGGAAATATAGACTAAATTAGGTTGACAATAACAAGCATTGTCATTGTGTAGTTGTAATGAAACTGATTAACGTCAAGTTTATTTATGGTGAGTGTCCCGAAAGGGGTGCGACTGCCATGAGCCATGCTTACTCTTTTACACCATAAGTCATAAGCGTTACTTGTCTTTTCCGTTTAATAGTTTAATTTTAAAAACGAGTTGCTTGTTTTCCACGGCATATTTATGTGTCAGGAGTCAGGGAGAAAGAAATCAATTTTCTGAAAAAGAGTAAAAACCTAATAACTAACGGCGTACTTTGTTATCAATTAAATTGTATATATACTAGTATTACTAGGTCTATATTTATTTAGTATGAAAATTTATATTTTGCACACAAAAAAAAAAAAAATCCTTCATCATAGAGAGCATTATTAAAACTCAGCCGTTTGATGCCGTGCACTTAAAATTTTAAAAGTAAAAGTTACAAAACCTTGAACATTACGATATAAATATTGTATTGTAAATTATGTTCTGCCATAAAACACAATAATTTCAATAAGAGCTATTTCAGCCTCGGCAGCTCTACTTTTACAAGGACCTCAGCTAAATCAATAGCTCTGCAGTGCTTATACTTATAATGTAAAGCACGTGCGAAAGGAGTCCAGAGATGGATCTTCGTCTTTGCTGGATCAATCGATTTTTTAGTTTGAGTCGGAACGCACGCCGCAACATCTGCACCCAGCCTTAGTTAGTCCCTTTGCTCTTCACTGGTTCAGTATAAACAAACGCGTGGCCCCGTGTGTCCATTGCCCCTTTAGTTAGGTCTAGGTGAACTCATAATCATACAGTGTTTACAGGAGAAGCCCTTAAGTTGTATCTTAAATGACTTAAGTATTTGAAAGATGGTTGGGCATGTAGGAATTACCATATAGATAATAGTAAATAGTATTAAGGACATAACGATATTCAAAATTTGATCACTCAAACTTTATAGGATAGAGGGGTGTATACAAAATGTTACCCCGGGGATTGAGCTGATTATTAGTAAACTTATTGCTTGGATTCTACGACAAATCAACTGATCAGATTGAGTAAAGATTACAACAGTGTCTACTCTGAATCAAAAGATGAGATTGAACAAACTGTGGCTTAACATTGACATAGATAATTCATTTCCGTATTTGATAGTATGTTCGTCCAGAACCAGAAGAAAGCATTGACGCGAGCAAGCGTGCTGACGTCACACGACGTCTGCTCACCCCAGACCGTTGCCCCGTGCTTCCAATTTGACCTACATAACCCAACGTAAGGCTATCGATTGAATGTTACACTCTGTTGTAGTGAGAACAAAAGGAAAGTTACAAGGAGGATTTGGGAGGCCGGTGGATATGCTAAGAAAGATTGTAATAAACTCACCCTTATTTTGTGTGTATGGGGGGGGGGGGCAAGTGAAATGGGCATGGCGGAAAGAAGGAAGGGGGGGGGGGGGAGCTGGATAGCTTCCGGGAAACAGTGCCGATGGTTAAATACG